GAAAAGACTTTGCCCAGGACTGCTGGGAGGTAGAAGGAGAAGGGGAAACACCAGGGTTTCTGCACAGGAAAGGGGTGATTCTGCAGCGCTGTGGCTAAACTGCTGGCACAGAAGTACACAGCCGAGTCCCTGGGTTCTGAGGGCTGGATCTTCAGAGTGGAGAATGATGCATTAGGCATCTTAGCTGAGAATCGATCCTTGGGCATCCCTGAATCATCTATCGGAGACTTGTTGTTAAAGTAAATCAGGAACTCCAGTCCCCGCATCATGGTCTGTCTGTACCAGAAGAGGTAGGTATGGCCTGAAATTGGTTCGCACCTCAGAGTCACTTCTTTTCCCATCTCTGTCACCTCATGCCGGGGTGACTGGATAACTCCAGCATCTGTGTGCTCTATGAAAGAAGACGGAATTGGGCATCAGAATAAGGAAAATATAAGGTATCATCCATGCAGGAGCCCAGTATGACAATGGTTAATATTCTGAAGACTCACTCGCTACCAGGATACAAAAGGACACACAGCAGAGAGTCCAGGAGCCCATGGCAGAGTGAGAGCAGATGTGGAACATTCCAGGCCCTCTGTGAGCATGAGCAAATAAATGAATGTTGTGACACTTTATCCCCACAAGATGCATCTGTCGGTGACATCACTGAATGGGCCACCAGTCCCAACTTCTTTAAGAGGAGGCTGCATGCCTGGGAGATGAATCAGGCAGGACTGAACTCAACTCTAATGGATCTGAGATACAGATGCACACATGCAGAAGCCCCCTGGGTATTTATTTTGATATTAACAATTCATAGCACCTTCTCCATAACATGCCTTACATAGGAGCCTGCCAACTTTATCCATCTGCACCTCAGACTCCAAGTATTTAAAGATGAACTCATTGTCTTACTGCAGGCGAGCTTCTCTGCGAACTCTCTCATTCCTCTCACTGGTGGCTTGGTGCTTCTACTCCTTTATGCATGCTGAAATTATCCGTCAGTGGGTTAGGAGTAGGCATCTGAGAAGATGCATGTCAACTGCATTGTTAGGGATACAGAAACTGAGCTGATGCCCTGACAGCTGATTACATTTGAAGCTCTTCTCTGCAGTGAAAAACCTGGGTTTATTTATCCTTGAACCGTATTGAATTCCCAAGGCCCATGGAATGGAACCTCTCACATTCTCTATTCCCACAATAAAACAGAGGATAAGATTGTCTTATTCTTGAAGACTTGGAGCTAAAATGTTCTATTGAATTGAATCTTATTACTACCCCTAGAAAAGTTCAATGTTTTTTCATCATTAACATCTGCCCTTTTCCCCATAATCCCACTTCTCCAAACCTACTTCCTCTCAGAGATTATGGAAAGCTGAGAGAAAGATCTGTTTTTTGGGTTGGTTAATTAAGTTACTTGCCAACAAAAGAGAAGGGCACATTTTTTGCTGTTGGCACAGAGGCATGCTTCTGAGTCCCCTGCAGTTGAAAGCACTTCCCAAAGTTAAAGGGTATTAGTTTGCAGACTAGCTTGTGTTACTGGAGGGGCCTATTTCCCTGTGGACTCTCCTTTTGCAGGGTCTTTGGATCCGGTATATAAAACTATGGCCATAATTCTGTCTTCAAAAAGTTAATTGCTTATTACTTCCTGTAACCAGGTACCAAGTATGGCAGGCAGCATGATGACCTCTTAAAGATGTCCATGTCTAATTCCCAGAAACTGGGAGTGTGTCAAATTATGTGGCAAGGGGAGAAAGGAATGTTCCAAATGGAATGAAGCTTGCTAATCAGCTGGCCTTAATACAGGGAGCGTGGCCTGGATTTTCCAGGTGGGCCCAATGTAATCACAAGGGTCCTAAAATGTGGAAGAGGGAGAATAAAGAGTGAGCCTCAGAGTGATGCAGAGTCCCTGTTGACTTTGAAGATTGAATGGGGCCATGAGCCAAGGAACGCTGGTGGCCTCTAGAAGCTGAATAGAAGAGAAAGATAGTTCTACCGGAGAGCCTCGGGAAGGAATGTAGCCCTGCCAATACCTGGATTTTAGCCCAGTTTTGGACTTCTGACCTGCAGAACTGTAAGATAATAAGTTTTTGTCATTGTAAGCCATAAAGTTATTGGTAATTTGTGTCAATAGAAATTGAATACCTTCTAGTAGCCATGGGACTGATGGGTGAGA